TCACCATCCTTCATTTTGAACTTGTCAAGCTGACTTTGAAGCACATCCAACTTGGATTCCTTGACGGAGTCGGTACCTTAGTGCATATAAATCAAAGTGTCCCAAATTTCCTTTACATTCTCAAGACGGTTGATTTTGTTGAATTCTTCGGGGCACAATCCGTTGAAGAGGATATCACAAGATTGAGCATTGTATTGCAGCATCTTCAACTCTTCCGTGGTGGCTTCACGGTTCGGTTCTCTCCCATCAAAGAATTCACCTTGCAAGCCAATACACACAATAGCCCATATGGCGGGGTTATGTCCAAGAATATGCATTTTCATCTTATGCTTCCAACTAGCAAAATTAGTACCATTAAAGTAAGGACCTCTATGGTGGTAATTTCCCTCGCTAGACGCCATACTTTCCTAGGTTGTGAAACCAAGGCTATGACTTCCAAAAGCTATGAAAATCAAAGCAAATGGAGACCAAAGCTCTGATACCACTTGTAGGATCGAAAGTATGTCTAGAGGGGGGGGGTGATTAGACTACTTGACCAAATAAAAATTATCCTTTTCCCAATTTTAGTTCTTGGCAGATTTTAGCAACTTTGGACAAGTCGAGCAATTTAACACAATTCAAGCAAGCATGCAAAGAGTATATGAGCAGCGGAAAGTAAAGCATGCAACTTGCAAGAATGTAAAGGGAAGGGTTTGGAGTATTCAAACGCAATAGGAGACACAGATGTTTTTGTCGTGGTTCCGATAGGTGGTGCTATCGTACATCCACGTTGATGGAGACTTCAACCCACGAAGGGTAACGGTTGCGCGAGTCCACGGAGGGCTCCACCCATGAAGGGTCCACGAAGAAGCAACCTTGTCTATCCCACCATGGCCGTCGCCCACGAAGGACTTGCCTCACTAGCGGTAGATCTTCACGAAGTAGGCGATCTCCTTGCCCTTACAAACTCCTTGGTTCAACTCCACAATCTTGTCGGAGGCTCCCAAGTGACACCTAGCCAATCTAGGAGACACCACTCTCCAAGAAGTAACAATGGTGTGTTGATGATGAACTCCTTGCTCTTGTGCTTCAAATGATAGTCTCGCCAACACTCAACTCTCTCTAATAGGATATGAATTTGGTGGAAAGAAGATTTGAGTGGAAAGCAACTTGGGGAAGGCTAGAGATCAAGATTCATATGGTAAGAATGGAATATCTTGGCCTCAACACAAGTGTAGGTGGTTCTCTCTCAAAAAAAGTAAGTTGGAAGTGTAGGTTTGTTCTGATGGCTCTCTCCACGAATGAAGAGGTGGTGGAGGGGTATATATAGCCTCCACACAAAATCTAACCGTTACACAACTTGCCAATCTCGGTGGGACCGAATAGTTAAACTCGGTCGGACCGATTCAGCAAAGCTAGTGACGACATGCAACTTGGTAGGACCAATATGATTAGGGTTAGGGCATAACGTAATCTCGGTGAGACCGATTTCACAAACTCGGTGAGACCGATTTCACAAACTCGGTGAGACCGATTTTGGTAATAAGCTAACCAGAGAGTTGGTCAGGTAAACTCGGTGGGACCGATCGCTTATTTCGGTGAGACCGAAACGTTACGAAGGGGAAACAAAGAGTTTACATTGCAATCTCGGTGGGACCGATTGCTCATCTCGGTAAGACCCAAATGTTACAAAGGGAAACAGAGAGATTACAATCCCATCTCGGTGAGACCGAGATCCCTATCGGTGAGACCGATTTGCCTAGGGTTTGTGGCAGTGGCTATGACATTTGAAACTCGGTGGCGCCGGATAGAAAGAATCAGTGGGGCCGAGTTTGACTTTTGGTTTAGGTCATATGTGGATGTGAGAAAGTAGTTGAGGGTTTTGGAGCATATTACTAAGCATTTTGAGCAAGAGCCTCATTAAGCAACACCTTATCCCTCCTTGATAGTATTGGCCTTTCCTATAGATTCAATGTGATCTTAGATCACTAAAATAGAAAATGTAGAGTCTTGAGCTTTGAGCTTGAGCCAATCCTTTGTCCTTAGCATTTTGAGGGGTCCACTTTTCTCATCCATGCCATGCCAATCATTGAGCTTTCCTGAGATATTAATCTTGAAATAGCATTAGCTCAATGAGCTATATGTTGTTAGGAATTACCAAAACCACCTAGGGATAGTTGCACTTTCAAATACCTAGTTCAATCTCGTTACCGGAAAGTTTCTTTACTCGTTCCGTAATACATCATCCCGCAACTAACTCATTAGTTGTAATGCTTGCAAGGCTTAAGTGATGTGCATTACCGAGTGGGCCCAGAGATACCTCTCCGACAATCGGAGTGACAAATCCTAATCTCGAAATACGCTAACCCAACAAATACCTTCGGAGACACCTGTAGAGCACCTTTATAATCACCCAGTTACGTTGTGACATTTGGTAGCACACAAAGTGTTCCTCCTGTAAATGGGAGTTGCATAATCTCATAGTCACAGGAACATGTATAAGTCATGAAGAAAGCTATAGCAACATACTAAACGATCGAGTGCTAAGCTAACGGCATGGGTCAAGTCAATCACATCATTCTCCTAATGATGTGATCCCGTTAATCAAATGACAACTCATGTCTATGGCTAGGAAACATAACCATTTTTGATCAACGAGCTAGTCAAGTAGAGGCATACTAGTGACACTCTATTTGTCTATGTATTCACACAAGTATTATGTTTCCGGTTAATACAATTATAGCATGAATAATAAACATTTATCATGATATAAGGAAATAAATAATAACTTTATTATTGCCTCTAGGGCATATTTCCTTCACCTGAGCCGTTGGATGCTCGTTCATCCAGGTCGTCCCCTTCCTTCTCATCTCTGTCCACGTTCCAGATCCGAAGAAACACCGCAGGCCATGGCGGCCGCCCCGTCATCGCCGCGTCGTGCAACACAGCGCCCGGCTGCCCTCCCCCGTTTGTCGCCGTCGACAGCCGCCGCCGTGCTCTCTGCTGCCGCTCGCCGTCAACAGATGCCCATGTTTCATTGATAAAATGCAGCTCGCCTGCCGACTGGTTCCAGCCCGTGCCACCGTGGTTGCAACATCCCTGAGCCACCACCACCGCCTCCGCTCATCGCCGTTGTTCGGTTCGCACCACCGTGTCCTCAACAAAAAAAGCAAAAACACAAAACTCCATTAGTTTGTCAGTAGTAGCAAAATCACATGCTGGTTGCAGCAAAAAAAACCGAATCCAACAAAAGACCCAAAGTTGCGCTGGCTGTTGCAAATTTCTATGTATCCTTCCAGCAAAAATTCTTACGGGTTCCAGCAAATTTTTTGCCGGTTCCAACAAAACACATCTCAACACCGTCCCATTGCATCACCAATCGATAGCGGATGCAACTTTTTCTCCGCCCGGTTCCAGCAAAAAATCGTATGGTAGTAGCACCATACCTCATCGTCTTTACCCCGGCAGCTGCTTGGTTGCAGCAAAAAAAGAAGATGGTTCCAACATCTCCAGGATCTGGTTCCAGCAAAAGAACTCCCTGGTAGTAGCACTGTACCTCGTCGTCTTCACCACCGGTGGCTGCTGATTCCAGCAAAAATGGATGATGGTTCCAGCTCCAGGGAACACTGCTTCCAGCATATCGTGTGGCCGGTTGCAGCTTTCCAGTCAGTGGGTTCCAGCACCTCTTGTATATTCGCCTTGCCGATTTTCGTTCATCGCTGGAACGGTTCCAGCATCGCCACCGTCAGCTGGGATGCAGCTCTCACGACAGGAAAACGAAAGCCAGCCATGGCTACTAGCGCGTCCGGCTGCGACGGCCATGGAGAAGAGCGCTCGAAGCCAGCCATGGCGTTCACTTCGCAGTTGCCGCAAGGTTGCTTGGAGCGGTCAGGGCGCGTCGACGGCGAGCTTTTTGGTGCCCCCCGGTCGTATTTTGCTGCAGGGAAGAAGAAAGGGGATGAGTAGTGGAGGAGATGGAAGGCAGAGAAGAAACACGACACGACGAGGGGAATGGCCGAAGGTAGGGGATGGAATGCAAAAGGATAAGATAAGGAAGGGGCGGTCCGCACGGGTCCACCAGAATACATACTCTCGCGCGGGGTGGCTTCGCATGGATGCACGACGCCAGCGTGACGCTCGTTCGACGGAAGATTCGCATGGTGCGCCATTTTTAAACGTTTCCCTTTGGATAAAGGGGTGCTAACAACGTTGGCTCCCGAACATGGTTCAATTGGGTATTTTCCATCTAAAAGCGGTTTGGATTAATAATCATGAAAAACAAACACAGAGCCGTCGGCTCACTTGGCAAAGCGTCCTCCACCGTTGGATCTAGGTCACCCGGACCACCTACAGCCCTATAAAAGCTCTTCTTTCTCCCCAGCCCTCACTTCCCTTCGGCGCCGCCTCGTTACAGACAGCGGGAGCGAAAGAGCAAGCGGCGAGAGAACTCCGGGAGAGGGCGGCGAGATGGTGCAGCGGCTGACATACCGAAAGCGCCACAGCTACGCCACCAAGTCGAATCAGACTCGCGTCGTCAAGACCCCAGGTTAGGGAGATCAGCGGCGCCTGCTTTTGCTCGCTCCTGTGTTTTAGTCTTGAAACTGTCTGGATAGTATTGCTGCTGCTCGTGTATGTGTTGGATTTAGGCTTGAATTTTACATGTGTCCTTACCGCTCCCTTGACAGTTCATCTTGGGTAAAAAAATTTGGGGTCTTCTTCCAGGATCTCAACTCAAGAGTTTTCTTGATGTGTTACTGATTATTAGGTGGGAAGCTTGTCTACCAGTACACCAAGAAGCGGGCGAGTGGGCCAAAATGCCCGGTTACCGGCAAGAAGATCCAAGGAGTATGTGTTCCATTCTCCATTTTTTAACCTGTAATTTCATTAGATTTCATGCGTTGTATGCACCATGCGCTCAGATACAGCCTGCATTTCAGCGAAGTGGTTGCTGATATAAATACATACAGTTAAAATCCAAACAAAAAACCCTACATTTGAGTCTTGCCCCATGGAATGTGCCAATGTTTTCCTTCAGATTTTTTCGTTTGATGTTGATGTGTGAAGTGGGGATTACTATTGTTGAAGCAGTGCTAATTCTTGCTGAATCATGTTCTATACCTTTGGGTATGCTCAATTTGTCAGCTCTGACCATACTGCGGGTGAATTTACCGTTCATAGACTGATTTATTAAATTAAACTGTCTATGTTAGCTAATTTTGAATTATGAGTTTGGTACGTCCTTGTACTTTGCATGCTGTGTCAATTGTGTGCTGTTTTTTGTTGGTAAATCGCATTGCTATTTCTTCCCATACTGTATCCTTTGATTCGTCTCTCTTAATTGTGTTCTTGTCTGGAAACCAATTCTTCTCGTGATATGAACATGGTTTTTGACTGTTTGTTCTCTCTTCCAATGCTTCAGTGTATAACTCTGTAATTTATGCTTAGTGGGTTATTATGCATTTGTATTTTGAATCTAGCATGAACTTTATACTGTCAGTTCAGCTTCATTTTTGTTGCTGAGAGCATTTTCTGACATATTAGTAGGGGTATGATTACAGTGAAACATGACAAGCATATGTCCTAATTTTATGTGAATTAGGCCTAATCTTCTCTATGAGGTCCTTGCAATATCATATTATCATTTGCTTAGGTTTGTTGTAGAAGCCTCATTGTGATATCTGTCTGGTGGCTCCTTTTGTTTTTTGCATTTGCACTCACCACAAAGTTGTACTACTCAGATGGTCTATTCTTGCATAGTTCAAATGATAATATTTTTTGATTACTATGATGTTGGTCCAAAAATCTTCTCTTTTAACTAGCAATCTTCTGACTTTTACTTCATATTTCTGTACTTTTATGTGGAAGGGTCCCTTTACTTTTCGAAGGACTACATTCTTTGTGATTTGCTTATTGAGGGGTGTCCACCATATGTGCATTATGTTCATACTTTGCGGAGATAGTCATTAGTACCATTTGTCTACTCTTATGTGCTGGGCGCTTATGCTTGGAGTGGTTGTAAAATTTGTGTGGCCACCGGTGCTTAGCTATTTTACACCCGTTCCAAACAACCCCTAATAGGTATCATTGAGCCATTTACAAGTGAAATCATCTATGCTTGTAATCGTGAACTGCTGCTGGACCACTTCTACCTACATTAGGTATATGCTATATATGCTGCTAGATAGTGGTGGCTAAATACCGCAGATAGAATAGCAAGTTCCCGCTGAATCATAAGTTTATGCCTCGCCTTGTTGGTACATTATACTGCCTTAGTAACCACCATGGCATTTTCTCATTCTCATGGAAGTTTGATATGCTAAACTGCAGATCCCACACCTGAGGCCTACTGAGTACAAGAGGTCCAGATTGTCGAGGAACAGGAGGACTGTGAACCGTCCTTATGGTGGTGTTCTGTCTGGTCCTGCAGTCAGGGAGAGGTAACCATCATTCAATCAAAACAAGTGATACTTGATAAATTTGCTGGTGAGCTAAGCTGATTTTTTTCGTGCTGTGCAGGATCATTAGGGCGTTTTTGGTGGAGGAGCAGAAGATTGTGAAGAAGGTGCTTAAGATCCAGAAGACCAAGGAGAAGACCACCAAGAGCTAAACAACTGGGCGAGATAGGCGTCGCGGTGATGTTTTGTGTTTCTCCGAATTTGTTTTAAGCAATCAAGAATTTTCTCTCTTGGGATTTGCAGAATCCTGGTTCTAGTATGTGAGGTTTGATGTGCTTCTCTAGATTTTGCGCCTGGTTCTCTATGGATGCTTAGCCTTTGATGCAAGAGCTTTCGGGCTCCAATTCGGCTTAGATGCTCTTGAGCTGCTTAGCTCAGTTAACGCTGTCAGGCTTTATTTGTCACACGAGAACAGTTTGCTGCGCCCTATTCTGCTTTCATGCATTTTGGACGCTTAAGTCCCAAAGGCCCCGCTCCGCCCTGATCTTCTCCGCTGCCCAAACTACCGGCTAGCAGCAGGTTCTTCCTACTTCGTTCTTTGCAAGAACAAGAACGGGGAGCAAGATTACAGTGCCAAGGCAAAATCTGAAGTAAATTAACCAACCGCTTGTGCTACCGTCTAGGGAATCAAACACATCCTTCTAATAACTGCCACAAACAACAATGGCAACTCGGGTAAGAATTTGTAAATCTAGTTAAAAATGAGTATAGTAGGACTGGAGTTAACCTACTTATAATGCAACTGCTAGAAGAACTAGGACTAAAGCCACCATTCACAACACACGACAACATACAAAGTTGCACTCTCCATGAAGACAGACACAGTAACAAATAAAGTGGGGTTTGCTATGGTAAATTACCATCACCTCTGTTGTTATTTACACTGGTTACACTAGACCATAAAGGTGTAAACGCTCTTATATTTTTGGCAAGTGATGTACCCCAACGCTCACACTCCTCCGTCACACCTGGCTCCACAAACCATTTGCAAGCAAGCCAACCTGCGCACGCTTGCTTCAAAGACTATGGTAAAGGTGCTTCAACAACGACGTCTCCAATAAATATCTGCCAAATTTTGAGTTATTTGTACTACTTGGAACCATCACAAGTTGTTACTATCTTCATCCAGAATATCTATATGTTCAGAATTCCATGCAACATTATGTAGAGTGCTGATACAACAGTAAGTCACAAATTGCGTAGTAAGATTCCTAAATTTGACGGAAAAGCAACGAGGCTTCCTTGATGGGAAGGGTAGGTTTCTCACGTGTCAATAATCGATGCAAATTGGTAGAACCGTTATTGATCTCCCAAATCAGACAATCTTCAAAAAAATTGCGTATTTCATGTCTAAAGGGTTGAGTTCTCACCCTTTTTACCATATGGATTCCAGGATGCAAATGTAGCTATACCGAATAATGATCGAGTCGTGTTGATCGGAGAGAGTTAGAACATATATATGTAAGGGAGCTTACCCAAGCTCCCTATACAAGTGGCACACAAGGCGTGATGTCGGTTGGTATCCCATAAAAGAGGAGCATGTACATCTAGTGACCAGGTAAAATACAAC